GGCCTTACGTCAGCCCTTATATTTTTCAGGCATAACAAATATAAATTTTAAGAAATTTTTTTTAATTGGTAGGATTTTTTTATTATTTTTTCCAAGAAAATTTTATGATTTTAGATTGTTGACAGCCATTATCTTCAGTTATATTTATAAATCACAAGATACTAACGTTCTTTATAGTCGTTGTTATGGATGAACAGTTTCCTGTAGAGATGTATTATTGGGTTAAATTTTTGTTTGACTTTAGTATATAAAAAAATTACTTTAAAGCTATTCTTAATCAACCCTATTCTTCCAAAGTGAATTTTAAATTTCACATAAATCCATTGATGAAATTAAATTCTTAAATTTTATAAATTATCTCACAAGTACACTTAATAAATTTTACACAAAATTTATTATCTTTTATTTAATTGAACAAAGAAAAAAATAAATAAAGTTTGTATATCTTTTATATAGTAAGTATACAAAATATTAAAGTTACCATGAAGGATAAACATCAAAATCATCATTAGTATCTTAAATTATTAACAATTCAAAAGTTTATTTTTTGATTCATTACTTAAGGGCACAAACATAATAGTGAAATTACAATAAAAATGATATTATATTTTACCACGAAAAACTTTGAATATATTCATTCATAAAATTTATATCGTAGCTCTAATTTGAAGAAACTTGTTTTTGTGTTGGTTTAATAACTTGTTCATTACTAAATCTTTTAACTAGGTTATGTTTTATGCCCATTGAACATTTTAAATATGTTTCATATCATTAATCACAGTGGTAAATGAATGAATTATAAATAAATATTTATATTTTAGTGTATGTAATAGCAATACACAATATACACGTATTATAACTTCATTTACCGTTATATTGTCAACTTTAAATTAGTCTTGACCCAAAGATATCTTAGAAAGCCCGTTAATAAGTAAATTTATCTAAAATATTAATTTATAAAAATATTACAATTTATTCCAAAATTGTTCATCTCTAATAGTTTTCTCTACAACAGCATTATTGCATCACGCTCTTCAGTAATATTTCATGATTTATTATTATTTTGTTTCATTGTTTTGTTAAACAAGTATTGAAGGTCTAACACTAAGAAAATACACCGACATAACTACTACAATATTACTGACCAAATAAGTTAACTAAGCCAAGTTATTGACCTTGGACTATTGTCACAATAAGTTAACTAACCAAGTTGTTAGCCTTGGATTATTTTGTTGTCCAAGGTATGATTTTTCAAAGCTGATTAAGGGCTTATATAAGTAAGATATTAGCCTAATTGGTGATACTGTATATTTAAATACAATAAGTGGCTCGCCAAATCAATATATTTGATGCCGAAACAATAAAGAGACAGACTAAAACTAAATACAATAAGTGATACGAAAAACTACCACCAAATTATATCATGATTCGAATACTAGATAAACTGAAAATCCACAGGTTTCTCAATACTTCTTCAACATGTAATAGTTAACTTCTAGGTTACAAAAACCTTTATTTATACTAGGAAATGAATAAATCTGTTAATTGAAACAAATCTTATTCTAATATGAAAAACATCTAAATAATAAATTTAATTTAATTAGGATATTATAATAAAATAAGAAAACCTAAATATAAGAAAATAATAAGATCCTCTTTTCTAAAGAATATATATATAAAGTTGAATACCCCCCTTGGTTGTTTGACACGTGGGATATTTTGGAGCTCGTAAAATTATTTCATCTTGACACATTGGATTGACAACTAAGATTTGTAGTTTAATGAGCCCAATCAAATTGCTTTATCTTGACACATTGGGTTTATATTTATTACTCTATCTTGACATGTTGGATTTGTATCAATAATGAATAATTAATAAAAATTGTATTAAAAATTAATAATAATACTAATTATATAGGTGCATTGCATTAACATTCTAAAGACCTAATCATAATGACACCTTGGATTTATGATTGTCATGTGGTTGAATTTTACTGGCGATGATGTAGACAATATTAATTCTGCATTGGTATTCCAAAGTCTAAATAAATAGACATAAAGATTGGATTACATAGGTACATTACATTAGTAGTAAAAACATACATATTTACTAATAATTATATAGGTGCATTGTATTGACATTACAAACTTTTCTTCGTATTTAAATGTGTTAGCATTTGAAAGGTCTAAATAAGGGGTTATAAAAGAGGCATATATTCAGTTGTATATTATCGCAATATGTTAGTTGGTGTCAACAATACGTCTAGTCTTCTGTTAATTGTTTATAGGTCATGTTAGTTTGTGTCAATAATACGTCTGTTCTTCATGATTTTGTTAATCGATTATTTTTTATTTATTTATGTTTTTGTTGTTGTTTACAGGTCAAATATTCATGAATTGGCATGGGATAAAGGCAGAATGTCCGATTGACATTGTCAAATGAGTTGTTATTTTGATTCGTTCTTCTGAACTGTAAGTATATCTTCTAACTATTTTGATATGAAATTATAAGTACATCTCCTAACTATTTTAACGGTTATTATTTGATTGAATGATTGTTTTTGTTCAGTTAATCTATTTGAATGATTAATTGTGTTAGTCTTGCCGAACGGTAAGTGTATTCTTTAACAATTTTAATATGAAGATTAATTAACTTTTGTTGGTTTCGTTTTTAGGTAATAGTTTTTATACGAATGAATAATTGTTCCTTAATAATCTTAACATGAAGATCGATTAAATTTTGTTATATTTGTTTTCAAGGAAATATTCATGTACTGTGGTTATATGTCATATCTACATTAGTAGAAACAGTTCATTTGTGTTACATATGTTTTCTGTAAAAATATTCGTATATTTTAATTTGTTATATGAATGATTAATTGTTTATGTATTGCTGATGTGTGAGTATATATGTTAAATGAATTCATTTTGGCTAATTCCATTTTCCAATTAATATGTGTTATTTGAAATATTTCGTATCACTCCTAATATGATAATCCCTTAAATTTGGGTTAAGTATATTTTATCATCACACATATTTCGGTTTCCACTGAATAATCAGTAGTAAATTGATCATAATTTGCTCAATAAAAATCCAATTGATGAGAGGATTGAATCTTTAGAAACTAGAAAGATATGGCTTTAATTTGATATATATACGCTTAATTTGGATAAATGTAGCCTCATTGCCGAACCATTCCTTTCATCATCACACACATTTCAGCTTCCACTAAACAGTCAATATTAAATGGACCATAACTTGCACAATAAAATTCCAATTGATTAGAGGTTTGAATATTTAGAAACCAGACAGACATAACTTTAATTTTATATATTATACGCTTAATTTGGATAACTGTAGCCCCACTGTCGAACCATTCTTTTTATCATCACACACATTTTGGTTTTCCCTATTTCTCGATTTCCAATAAACAGTCAGTAGTAAATTAGCTATAACTTGCTCAATAAAAATTCAATTGATGAGCGGTTTGAATCTTTGGAAACTAGAATGATGGGGCTTTAATTTGATATATTATACGATGAATTAGGATAACTATAGATCTACTGCCGAACTATTCATTTCATCATTACACACATAATAAAACAAATTCAATTTTAGTGATGACAAAGGAAAACAAACATTGATACGTAATTTTAATTGTATTTGTTTTATCTCTTTTTTGTTGATTTTTGGATTGATTTTGTTGTTTGATTTGTGGATTTTACAATTATCGTCTTTCTTTAGGATGCTATCATCAAATGTTTTTTTGCTATAGGTGGTGGTCAATTATAATTGCAGCAAATGGATTTGTGTCACAAGACCTTTATCTTCATGGCTTCTTTAATACTTCAATTAAGTTGCCTTCAGATTATACTGTTAGAGTTGTTGTTGCTTTCTATGTGACTTCCTTCTCAACATTCTTAATTTTTTTTTATTTCTAAAATAAAAATAATTCATTTTCTCTTCTCAACAATCAAAATCAGTTTTTTCCGTTGTCTCCACAGTCTCTTGCTTAAAAATTCACATTTTTCAATAAGGTTTCTCTTTATCTTATTGATTTATAGACTTATCAATAATAGGGTTATCCTACAAATTTTTTTGCTTTTCTTGACAAAGTTTTAAACTTTGGTTACACATGTCAAATGGTGACATATTTGAGAAAAACCATAATGATATAGACTTTGAGTTCAATTTATAGATATTTTATTTATTGATTTTTTAATTATCATAAAAAATTATATATTTAAAACACAAAAAAACCAATAATAATGTAAAATATATATATATAATAAACATACCCGCTCAACGCAACTTGAAAATGAGTATAAGTTACAGAATTTGCTGAAGGTCAATATAAATTTTGGCTTTAAATAGTTGATCTTCATAATATTCAGGTGATATTAAATATCATACACGATTCACTACAAAATACTGACATCAAATATCAAAGACATGTCTACAAAAATAATATCAATTATATAAGGTGATGGTCCTGAAAATATAATTAGACCATATAATATTCAGGTGATCTTCTCAAATTGGATAGATGATTTAATGATATCTATCTATAATTGATATTAATAATTATATAAATATAATTATTAATTTTATTTTAACACAATTTTGTATATATATATACAATTTAAGTTTACTTTAAAATTTGTATAATATAACAATTATTATCCAAGTGATACTTATTGTAAATTGATCAATTATAAGCTATTACATTATAATTGGATGAGAAAATTTGTGAAAAGAGGTTATGGGTTTAATATTTTTCTTCTTCTATTATCTCTTAACAATAAAACTAGGCTTACAATCTTTTTATATAATTTTTTTTTACGAGTAATAACTCACTATTGGTTAATACATATTTATATAAATGGGATCCATTGGGAAACTATCACATCAGGTTTTTACGAAAAGTTGAAGTGCAAAGAAAGGTGGAGATGGTGACATGGAGAGTCTCAAGTCTAATAATAAGGAACTGCATCCCGGAATGAATGAGTCGCCGGAGCTACGTTGGGCCTTTATAAGGAAAGTTTACGCCATAATATCCATGCAGCTTCTCCTCACTTCCGCCGTTGCTGCCGTTGTCGTCTTTGTTAAGCCCATTCCTCACTTCTTCACCAACACTGCCCTGGGCCTCGTCGTCCACATCCTTATCGTCGTCCTTGCCCAGTTTGATTCTGTGGTTTTAATGTACTTAATTATGGCGTGTGTAGTGTTCTACCAATTGTCCACTTATCGCAAGCATCATCCATGGAACTTTCTTCTTCTCATCATCTTCACAGTGAATCTTTCTTTTGCTGTGGGAGTTTCTTGCTCTTTTTCAAAAGGTATAATCAATTAACCCACTTTGCTCATACTAATTTATTGCTTTAATTAACATCAGTTTTTGTAAGTAATCTTTCCCTGCTCTGTTTTGATATTGGATTGTTCGATTGGATTCAGTTCAGCGGAGAGAAAACTAAACATAATTATCATAGAATTTTAATTTTAGGGTTCTCTTGGGAACCTAACAGAACCTATCACTACATTTGTTTAGCGGGAAATGTTCTTCTTAGTAAAATGATAGTTTCGTAAAGAAATTGATGATCTTATCAGTTTTATGCGATATTTGTTTTTGTTCCCTTTAATTTCATGAGAAATTCCCCAATTTTCGCTACAATTAACGAGTTTGCATACAATAAAAGCTGTTACTTTGTGAATGTTTTGTCGCATAACTGATTTTCTGCGAGACACATTGTGAATTTGGGGCTTATTTGGGAATTTTATTTTAGACTTGAGTCACACTATTGCAGGATTATAACTCCTTTGACTCCCAAGAGAGCAATTGCTAACCAGATTGTGCTCATATCATGCTTCATTTTCTTTCAAAAGATATAGTTTATTAGGACAATTGATCCCACCATATTAATTTGTTGGAAAGTATTTGAAGATGGTGAATTAGATCGTTGAAACATTCTTCTGTATTATGCTTGTATTTGTATATATATGTTTGGTATCATTAGACCCACCATGTGCATGCAATATGTTGTTTGGTCAAAGGCACTTTATAAACAATAAATGAGGCTGAAAATCACCAACATGTTTCTAAATTTTGATTTTAGACTTAGCGTTTCGATTTGGTTTCACCAACAGGAAGAATAATTTTGGAAGCTGCTATTCTGACCAGTGTGATGGTTGTTAGCCTCACTCTCTACACTTTCTGGGCTGTGAAAAGAGGCAATGATTTCAGCTTTCTTGGACCCTTTTTGTTCGCTTCCCTCCTGATGCTTATTGTTTTCACCCTCCTCCAGGTCCTTGTTACTTTCTTATTTCATTTGCTTATTCTATTTCTTTTATATATATTTATATATATACTCTTCCCACAATTATTCTTGTATAAATTAATTAACTAACGTGTTATATTACTGTACAGATCTTTTTTCCTCTTGGAAAGCTACCACACATGATCTTGGGTTGCTTGGCATCGATCATTTTCTGTGGCTACATTATATATGGCACTTGCAACTTGATCAAGCGCTATACGTATGACGAATATATCATCGCTGCAGTCGACATATATCTTGATATCATCAACCTCTTCCTTGCTCTTCTTTCGGTTTTAGATCATGTTTGACTGATAGCCTGAATATTAACCATCGCGCCTATGACAAGTATATCATGACTGCAGTCGTTCTTTACAGTAGTTAATTAGTAAAACTTGAGTTTTATTTTCCCCTGTTGAACTTAAGTATGGTCAGGCATGTAAACCTTGTCATGCCAAACAATGATAGTAGGTGCATACAAATGAAGTAACAAAGACTTTCTTGAGAGTATCACAGGTTCTTTTATGATTCTCTGTTATTTCTAAAGCACCTTATGTATTATTTTAAGTTTAATCCAGTTTGTTAGGGGTGGAATGTGATATTTGAACTATAAAATGAAAAGACCAACGATATATTTACATTTAAGAATCTTTGGAGAGGAAGTTCATTAGCTAAGAGGTACATGTATGTATAGCATATTGAATTTTATTTTTTTTTATCCTATGACAAAATTATTTATTCTATGGCATTAAGAAAGATCATTTGAGGAGCAATGATAGATTAGAGAACTAATTTTCTTTTATAGATCTTGCTTTCTTTAGACCTTCAAAAAAAATATGTATATAAAATAGAACAAAAATGAAGTAAGAGAATAGATGATGCCTTAACCACCGTTCAGTGTTTCAACAATTATGGGTGCGTTGGGTTTATTATTTTGGGTAGGATTTTGGGGATAGTGTTGGATAGTTGGATAGAGGAGTATTACGAGATAAAATTTAAAAATTTATGAAAAAGCCCCCAATGTTTGCTAATTTAATAAACACCCCAAAATATTAGAATATTGTAAAATAACAAAAACACCCCTACCACCCGCAGTGTCAGATTCCGGCCACCATCGTCGGAATCTGGCCAGAAAATTAGATAACCACACATACCGATCGGATCTGGCGGGTATTCGATCAATATGGCCTTTTCTGGCCATATCCACCACGGATCTGGCAGGAAAAGGCCGGATGTGGCCTTCGACGGCTGAAAAAGGCATGGCCGTCGTTGACTGTCAACGACAGCCAATTCTTTGGCCACCGTTATCGGCCATTTTCGATGGTCGTATGAATGTTGTGACAGATTCCGGCTACCACCGGTGGTGGTTGCCGGAATCTGGCAAGTCTTGTGGGTGGGGGTGTTTTTGTTAGTTTTTAAACTTTTTTTCTGGGGGGTATTTAATAAAATTAATAAACTTATAGGGTCTAAAAGTAATTAAAAAATAAAATAATATTTTGGGAATAACGTGCCAAACAACATTTGAAGAATAGGATCGGGAATATGGATAAAAATAATAAGCCAAACGCACCCTATGATTTCAAACCTTTTAAAAGCTCATTGTTAAATGGTTTAAACAATGTTAACCATAGAATTCGCATGTATTTAAAATTTAAACAAGTTTTAAAAGAATGTATTGTTGTGGAGGATAGATTGTTCTACTTTTATTCGGATTTGCCTACTTGGATCACTACCTTACTCCGACATGAATTTTTTGCGTATTCTTATTGGACACTTATAGCAATCGTCATCCATGGAATTTTTATCCTTCTCCTGCTGTTTACTGTAATGCTTACGCTCTCCCAACTAGTTTCTATCTTCCGCTCCCCTACAAAAGGTATAATTAATATAAATATATGATAGCTATCTTAATCCACATAGCTTATACTATTTCTTTCTTTAATAACTGTTTTAATTCTTTAACTAATCTTTAATTTCCTGTTATTTTATTGGAGTTGGGTGTTTGATTTTCTTTTTTAGTGAGTACCTATTGGTTTCGGAAATGCAACTCTAACCCAATGTTTTGAAACTCGATTCTTGGGTTGGCCCGTCCGACCGATTGGACCTATTAGTCTGACTGATGATATCAGCATATCCAACAAGTTTAAAACTTAACGGACATATCCCTAAGAAATTACACATCAGTCTCTATAGGTTTGAAATCTAGCAAACATACAACTGAAATCAAAACTCTAGGAAACCCTAGCCGCCGCAACTGCAATCCACCCCAGCCTTTTTCTAGCCGTTTCCGATGCCCACCTGCTTTTCCCAACCCTCCAAACACCACCTAAGCACTTTCTCTGCTCCATTTTCGTTGATTTCTAAAAAAAAACACCACTCTATTCATTCAATTCCCACAACTTCTCCTTAACATTTGAACCAAAAGATTTATTATTTACCTAAAAATTGAAAAGAAGAGCACCCTCAAAGAGCAAGACAGCCTGAGCAGTGAGTATGTCAATCGAATTGGGATTTTGTTTGAAGAATTAGAAGCAAAACTGGAATTGGGATTTTAGGGATTTTGTTTAAAAAGTGAATCGGTTTATCCACCGGTCAGGTTGGATCGGCGGTTCGTTACTATTACGTCGGTCCATTAGCAATTCAATGCGTAAAATCGAGTTTATGTTGCTTTCAGACAGGAGTTGGCCCTGAAACCCGATCGATCCGGTTGGACCAGTCGGTCTGGTTCGGGTTTTAGAAAACTGCTTTAATCAAGGGTATTTGACATTTTTTGTAGTAAGCATTTGTTGATTTTTAAAATGTCATTCATTCAATGTTCAAATTTGTCAACAATTTAACCTCCAAAAAATATATTAACATCTCAAGATTGTCTATAGACTTTAAATGCCTTCAAATTTAAACAGAATAACTTAACAGCTTGTCAAAAATATTGGTCAGATTTTCAAAACCAATGGATGCTCGCTATAAAACGGCTAAACCAAGGGCGGATCCAGCCACTTTTTGGCTCACCCTCAAATTTTTTTTTTTTAAATGTTAATATGTATAATTTATATATTTTGGCCCAACCTAACAAAAATATTAATGGATAAAAGTATTAATGTATAATTAATTTTTATTTTGGTCTATCCTAGAAGAAATTTCTGGATCCGTCACTTGGCTAAACACATACGGTTTATGATTATATTTTTGAAACAAGAGGGTGGTTACTAAAAGAATGTCAACCAGACGGGTTTATAAAAATCCCAAATTTCTAAGTTTCCCAACAACTCATTAATTCTGTATAATAAACACTAATTAAGGCAATAATTATAATCACATAACATAACGCGATTAAACACTCATTCGCGCGAAACTTGCGTAACCCATTTATAATAACAAACTCAGAAATCTTTTAAAGGAAAATTTTATTTGGCTTTCCCTCAATTTCCAAACACAACTTTTCCTTTCTATCTTCTTCGTCCGTGAGAAAAAGAGAAAAACAAGTAAAGATGGTGAAAGGTGACGTAGAAATTGGTAACCAAAACATGGTGAAAGGTGACATAGAAAATGGTAACCAAAACCAGTTGTATCCGGGGATGATGGAGTCGCCACAGATACGCTGGGCCTTTATACGAAAAGTTTACGCCATTTTATCCGTACAGTTTCTTTTGACTGTTGTGGTTGCTGCGGTTGTCGTCTTTGTCGAACCCATCCCCAACTTCTTCGCTAAAAGTGGGACGCCTGGCCTTGCCGTCTATATTGTCATCCTTATCCTTCCCTTTCTCCGTAAGTTGTTTCATTTTGTTGAAGACCTTCTAGGTCTGTAAAATCAAGGCGCATTTTGATTTGAGAAAATTTGTTACTCTTATGGTGTGTTATTCCGAATATTAATGGGTGATTGACTTGTATTTTGTTTGATGTGCAGTGTTGTGCCCTTTATACGTTTATCACAAGCATCATCCATGGAATTTTATCCTTCTCATGCTGTTTACAATAAACATTTCCTTTGCTGTGGGACTTTCTTGCGCCTTTACGGAAGGTATTATGGTTATATATGTGTCTTAATCTTTCTTTGTTCACAGTATTTTATTGCTTTAATATCAGTTTAGTGAACTAATCTTTCTCTTTTGTTTGCATTGCTGTTGGTTTAACAATTGTTGGGTGGGTGATTATTTTGCTTAGGGTCGATAATGTTGGTTTGAATTCTGTTCCTTAGTTAGATTTGGATAACAAAGTTCTTTTGTTATTTTCTAGCATTTTCGCATGAACCAAACAGAACCTATGGTTGCATTGTTTTTATCGAAAAAAATTGTGTTTGTGTGAAATTAGTCCAATTTTTTTCTAGGTGGAAAGAGATGTTTGATTTTTGAAACTTGGACTGGGTAGATATGATGGATATACTCTGCTCCAGTATTTATCAGAGTGAGATGAGAATGAGACTAAAAGCCTTTATTATTAATCTAACAACTGCAATCCTTTCTCACAAACTGATTTATGCGAGCCTCGTTGTGAATTAGGGGTTTGCTTGGGATCTTTTTTTAATCAAATTCCTAGACATTTATTTGAGATCCAGTGTTTAGTTGACTTTTTTATTTACCAAATAGTAGCTTATGTAACTCTGAATTGGTCACTGAGCTTCTGATGAAAGGAACCTTTCTTTGTTTTTTTCTGTAAAAACAAAACAAAACAAAAGTTAGCCATCAGTTATTCTTTAGATTCTCTATCATTCTTTGTGGGAAGATTACATCAACGCTCTTCTATTGAAATTGCTCTTGATCCTCTGGTGGTTGTGATTTTTACGGCTTTACATGGTTTTTTCTTCATGACTCAGTACAATGATCAATTAAAAGCATAGCATATTAATCAAAAGCCGCCAGATAACATCTCTTGTTTTCTAGGCATGGAAGAGTTTTAGGAAATTTGTGGGCTACATTTTGTTGGTTTAAGTAAAAAATTAAATTGGTAATATAATTGTTTCACAAGGTCTTAAAGTGTGGTGGAAGATGCTTGATTAGTTTATCAAATGAGCTGTTGCTCAAATGTTGTTCATAACATGCTAATTTGTTGCTTAATTTTCTTTGGGTAGGTGTAGTTCATTTAGGCCAATCAAGCCATGTTAATTTGTTGAAAAGAATTCTAAGCTAGAGAACAGATTTTGAGATACAGTTTCAAATACTTAATCAAGAACATTCTCCTTAATGGGCTCATATTCAAGTATGTTCTGTATGATTAAACCTACAGGAGGCAACACATTTAGTCAAAGGTTCTTGATATGCAATGAGTGATGTTTAAAATTAAACAGTTATTTCTTATTCTTATTTTTGACTAAGCTATGATATTTGGATTCGCCAACAGGGAAAATAGTTTTGGAAGCTGCAATTTTGACCAGTGTTGTGCTTGTTAGCCTTACTCTCTACACCTTCTGGGCTGTGAAAAGAGGCAAGGATTTCAGCTTTCTGGGACCCTTTTTGTTTGCTTCCCTTCTGGTGCTTCTTGTTTTCGCATTCATCCAGGTCTTTGCTACTTACTTCATTTGATTTGCTTGCTTATGCCCTCCCCAGTCTTGAACTTGTATAAAATTGACTAAACTCTTAGTGTGACAGATGGTTTTCCCTCTTGGAAAGCTATCACATGCAATATATGGGGGCTTGGCGTCCCTTATATTCTGTGGCTACATCATCTATGACACAAACAACCTGATCAAGCGTTACACCTACGACGAATATATAATGGCTTCAGTGGCTCTTTATCTTGATGTTGTCAACCTCTTCTTTTCCCTCCTTACCTTATTCAGAGCTACAAACTGACAACCTGATCAAGCGTAACAACTAGACGAATTTGCCATGGCTGCTTAAAACACCACCATTGCGCAGCTCTCGTACATTACTTTCGTAAGTACCTTCTTAACTTCATAACGCTGAAACACAACTTGAGTTCTGTTTTTCATGTTGAACTTAAGTACAAGTATATATCTTTAAGCTTGGAATTGTTGACCACATAGACATAGCATACAAATTCTAGATATGTACTGGTTGCTTCAAGTGTAGGATATTTAGAGCTTAACTCCACAAAATTGATTCTATTTTACTACTAATCTTTACATTGCCGTGATACATTTGATTTTTTTTCTTGTTTTTTGGTTAGATGTTTATTTTAGTTTAATCAGCTTTGATTAGGCGAGTGTAAATAAACTTTGAGAAGTAAATTTGAAAGAAAAGTGGTACAGTCTGTGTTTAAGGATATCCACTAATTACATTCATGGCACTGCCATCAAATTTGAAATAAATCGGTTGGATGATCAGTCTATTTTATCTTATTTATAACTCCATTACTATTGAAAAAGAACTTACTACTTTGTATTAATCCAAAGTTTAAATTAACATTTTGCCTTTATACATGGAGTCACATTGTGAGCAGAGCACAAGATTTGACTGGCAAAATAAGCAGCTTTGCAATTGCAATACAGCAGCTTTACTGATCACTGCTGAAGCATTATTTTCCGTGCTGCAAATAGTTTGAAACTTTCCCTCCTGGATGGCAATTGTTTTCAGAAAATGCTTTTAATGAATTTTAAAATTATGCCATGACATCAAACTTACTGCACCCCATCTCCAAAGCTAACCAATAGGCCAAATTTTCCTATAAGCCTTGAAGACCCAGATCCATATCGTAAGAAAAATGCCCATCTAAATTCTTTTTATGTATGAATGTGAATAGGAAAGGTACATTCCCTCTAGCTCGCAATTAAAGAATTTAGGTATGTGAATCGTTTCAGCTTTACAAAAACTGCACAGTCATGATTACATATTCCTAAGCATTTGCTTTATGCACAGCCTAATCTAGGATTTATGTATAATTATCTCCGCAAAAAAGTTTAATCCATCACTTAATCAAACCGAACAATCATCACAAGGACAGTGTAATGGGTTATACATTAATCAAGTGTTTCAAATTTTATTTTTTTACTTTTATGACCAGGGATGTCCGACCCTTATACACACCTCAATTAATCTCTAAGACATTAGAATTATAAGTCGGATAAAGACCTCTTAAATAACAAACCTAAGAATCTCTATTTAACACATATTCAAAAAAAAAAAATTACTTTTTTAGATGACCCGATCCACCTAGTTCATCTTCTGGATTGTTTGTTTTGACCTTATCTCAATTGAACAGCCTGTGAACAGTTAAAACATCCAGACAAGGTTATGAAACGAATTATTTTAAACAATATCTTCTAAGATTTGATGGGATGAATTTATGGTCCTTCTTTTGTCTGATTAAAAAGTTGTTACTAGATAAATTAGAGTACTGAAAGGTTATAGTTAGAAACCATGACCATGTTTCTTTCATACATTCCCTCTGACAATCAGGATACGGATCTCTACTACTTAAGTTAAATAAAATATTTCACCAAACCAGCTCTTCATCACTTAAATCCAAACAAAACTAATATATAAAGTGGAAGATTACAAATCAAGACAATCATGGTTCCACCATATCGAAAGCCTAAAACAAAGAGCCAAAAAAAATAAATAAAGGACAAAGGCATCAGCCCACAAATTAAAAATACAAAAATAAAAGCACTTAGAATCTGGGTATGTCTTTGTCTTCAATATTTATATTCCTCTCCTCAAAATGGGATTCCTTTCTTGCCTTTTTGACCATCTCAGTCCAAGATACTCCTTTTCTTTCCACAACAATGGCCAGTGTCACATGGTTTTCTTTGCTTTGCTTTGATTCAAAATCACTTTACTCTTTCCAGTTCAAAATAACAACAAAAGCTCAAGATATAATCCCCCCAAATTAAAGTAAAGAGACCCATTTGGACTTCTTCTCTTTAATATTTCAACATTTTTACAATAGAAACACCAAAAGAACAGCCCAGTAGTTTTACTTGAACATATGATATTTTTTGTTTTAAGGGCTATTAGCCCTATTCCCATTATCTAATATACCAAATTTTCCCCATGTAAACAACAGTTTAAACTCTATGTCTATTACTTTTTTCTGAAGCAATAGTGAGGAGCCTTGACACCCCCTGAGTCCATATATCATACTCTCTCTGGTTCTTGCACTCGAATTCTACAACTCCACGCATAACTGTCTTCAACCCAAAGTATCGCCTGTTCTCACCTCCCTCAAGCAAGTGGCGGCCTGCCCATGAGGGCATATCTTTAATCACCTCCAACACAACATCTGTAAAATTCAAAAGAGATACATTAGAGATGAACCCTTTTGATCCTGAAATTCAATAAAGATCAACTAAAGCTAAACCCTTTTGATTTTTTCTACTTTAGTGCCAATCTGCTTTCTCAAATCCCCAAATAGAAGAAGAGCCCACCTCCAATTCTGTTTCACATTATTAGAGAAAGACAAAAGTAATCACTTACTCTTTTTCTTTTTCGTGATGGTCCCAGCAACATGTCTACTCTTCATCTTCAACATAACCTACACCAAAAGAAGGTTCAACAGATTAAAGATAACAAAGAAAGAGGAAAAAGAAGAGACCACAGAACCATTTATTTCATCATGCTCAGATTTTAAACCTTTTGCTGAGAAACTTTTTACACCACAAGGTTCACATTACTAACACTAAAGTTCTATTGATGACCAAATAATTGCAAGATGATATCTTTCAAATGAATATTAAAGAACATGGTTTTTGGCTTTTCGCAATTAACAAGAATCTGCATACCTGGTTCGATCTGTTAATATAGACAGAAACTATTTTCCAGTGAAGATCACCTGCAATAAACGAAAAGAACAATATGATCAAAACCCCATTAACGATCGTACCTCTCATAGCCTTGATCATTTCTACGGAGACAGCTGCTACTTTCAGTAATAAAATTAAATCATTAAGACGAAAACATTTCACATTTCCCATTTCCAGTCATGACTATGATCTCCTAAGAACACACTTACAGTATGATATGCTCACAAAACATGTCAGAATTCACGACATCAAGCTTAAACTGAAAACGCTGTCCATACACAAACATGAGAAACTCAATTTGCAAACAACAAAAAATGAAAACAAAACTGCTCAAACAGAGGATCAAATTCATTGAACAACTTATCCCACAAAAACTTCAATTATATCATGAAATTAAGAAAAAGAATTGATTGGAAACAATTAATTACCTTTACGGGTACGCTTTAGTAGCTCACAACCTCTGGCAAGCAATTCTCTGCTGCAAATACCTAAGAAATTATCTTCAGGAACAAGCTCACCGCTGAAACTACCGTTAGAACTACCATTGTTACTACCACCCCCATTATTGTTATTTCCACCCCCACCCATTCCTTTCTCCACTGGAATCACCGCCGCTATATTCCACACCTCCTTCAACGCACGTGCCTTCAACGTGGCCGCCCCTCTCAAGGCTACACACAATGCCATAAAATCACATTCTTCATCAAATTCGCATTAACAAAAATTCCTAAAATACAATCTAAACAAAAACAAATCATACCCGTGGCCGCTCCAGCAGTTAACGTCATTATATCGCCGGCTGATCTAACGTTAACAGCGGAGCTGACGACAGAAGCCAAATGTTCGCGTTCAGCACCCATGGATTCGGCAGCCTCAACGCATTGCGCAGCGACAAGCGTAGCCGCAGAGGCCACAGCCATATCAGTCTTAGCCATTTGCTCATCTTTTCCGGAGCCCGACGAGGCAGCGGTGGCCGCAGCAATAGCGGCGATAGCTGCCGCAACACCGGCGACAGAAACAGCGGCGTGGAGTTGCGCATTGTGTACACGGGTTTCCTCCTTTTTCTTCTCCCTCCTGTCTTTGAGCCACCGTCCCACAGTCTTCCCACCGCCTGATGTCGCGGCCGGCGTTGCGGAAACGGCGGCTGCGGAAGCGCGGAAGGTGGAGTTGGCAGTGAACGGATGATGGTGGATGTTGTTGCCGGAGGTATTATTATTGGAGCGACAGAACTGCGCAGAGGTAGAACACAACCCGGTGTTCATGGAATTTGGTTAATTTTGGGAATTTACATTTTTTTTTTTTTTTTTTAATTTGCGCTTTGAATTACTGATCTAATTATTTTTGCATGCAACACAAATAAAACAGTCAGTCAAAATTCTAAATTTGAGCATCCTTTATTCAGGAAAAAATATTAAATAATGGTCAAATTTCTATAAATTACAAATAAATTTAGAATCCATAAACGCATCGTATTAGTGCCAGAGTTCAACTAATTTCACTAGGGACCAAACAAGTCATAATTACATTGGGGACCAAAACTAATGGGGTGTGCAGGTAGTAGTGTAGATTTATCATGGTAATATTGTTAATTTAACTAAAAATGGGGTTGATTTTGGACACTTGATTTTATTAAATAAGAAAAAAAAAAAATGGGCGGAAATTAGTTATCTTTTGATTAAAGAAAAGTAAACGAAAGAGCATAATTATTCATTGAAGAAAGGGCATCAAAAAAAAATATGCTGCCATTTTCTTGTTGTGATTAAAGGAGGCGTTGGGTGTAGTGAAAGCCTGAGATATGTTTGGTTCTGAGTCAGTAACTCAGTGATTTTGTACCCAAAAAGAGTATTAAAAAAGAAACTACCCTCGTGTTATTATTATTGTCATTCATAATTGGTTAGTGAAGCAAAAGTTTAATGACAAACCTTAATATCATCGATTTCGGATGGAGAAACGGGAGGACTGTCGGTCAAGGAACCACAGCTCTGAGTTCCGTTGAGAGGGCCACTGCTGTGTGAGAGTCTCCCTGATGTGCGTGGAGACACCTCCTGCTGTAAAACAAAAAATCATGAGAGTGTTATTTGTCTGAATCTTCATCATCGAGAATCAAGCGTTTCTGTTTTCAGACTTTCAAGATACAGAAAAAGTTAAAGAATGATTAAAATTGATATCAAGTATCTGGGTTCAGTAAAACATTTTGCTAGAAGACACCGTTTCAAACACTCTTCCAACTTTTGAACAAAAACAAAAACATAATAAAACCCAGAATAAGTGTAAAGAAAGTAACAAACCAAAACAGAAAACCAGTTTTAAGTTACAGATTGATGTTGATAGATAGAAACTAGAAAGACAAAGGAAGCAAACTACAAAACGATGAAAAGAGCCAGAAAAATCCCATAATTTTATTTGTCCATACATGGTTTTGAGTTTTTAACTTGTAAAACTCACCGACTGCGACATGATACGGTCCATGATCATCTGGGAAGTTTCAGAGGAAGCAAAGGAGAATGGGTTCCCTGAAACGGCGCCATTCTGGTCCTCTAGCTCACCAGCTAAATCTTCCAGTATCACACTACTCGATGTCTTTGAGAGAACCATTTGTGGGTGCTGTGGGACTAGAGCTTTAGACACTTCTAAAGCTGACACGCTCCATGACCGTGAGAGAAACTCCATCGGTTCACGTGGCGTCTCCGGTGGCCGGAATAGTACTGGGTCGGGTCGCCAAGGTTCGGTTATGGGTAGAGGCTTGTCCATTTTAAAGAGAGTTTAAAAGGGTGCAAGTGTGTTTATGTAATGAGAGAGTGTGCGTAGGATAAGAGAAGAGGAATTACAGAGTAAGATGTGGTCGGCGCTTTATAGAGAAGCCGAAAATGTGTTGTCTTATTAAGATTCGGACGTAAAATAAAATAAAATAAAAAAATCGGCGTGAGGATAAAATTGGAAAAAAAAAAAAGAAACAATGTTCAGTTTATATAGGTGATTGACTGTATGGTGCCGGTCTTTGTTACTTGTACACTGGTATTTGAATCGTACGGTAGGATTTGATTGGGCATTGACTGCAAAGAGTACAACAAACCCAACAAATCGTGATGTAGCTCAGGGGCTAAAACTGAATAATTTTTGTACGAGATTAAAGGTTACTTTTAGTGGTTGTTGGGTTGTTTTAATTAAATTAATGGTCATATTAATTCATGAAAGATGCTCTCTTTCTACAATTATTTCCAGTCAAATTAGTTTAAATTAATTAATTAATTTAAAGTCCATTTTTATCATAAGATGATGACAGGGACGGGGTTACTTATTTATATTTTGTTTAAATTAATAATACGATTTCACATTGGATACCTTATAGTCTAACCATTTTCTAATTGAAGTCCGACAAAGTCGCCCTTTAAGATTTGCATTTGGCTACAATATCCTAACCTCATTTGATGACTTTATAGTTATAATTCATGTTTAATTTCTACAAGTTTTTCATTAATTATAATTGTAAGTTTCCTAATAATTTATAACATAATAAACATTAATGCCATAGGCAGGACACACCTAAATATTTGTTGCCTCTTTTTGCATTATATCAATTAAACTTTTATATTATATTTTTATTTTTATTTCATCAATCTATATTATAAAGTGTAATTCAAACAAATTAATATTATTTCTTATTTATTATTACTCTTTATTGTGACATATATGATAACGGTTGTGATAACAATGTTATGTATATAAAGTTTAAATTCCAACTTTGCAATATTACATCAATTACAAATAAATAATCACATTAGTAGAATCTAATGTTATATATGTAATATTATTCCGATAATTAGTAAGAAATAGGGTTTAATGTAAAAAGATAATCAAATAGAAATAGGTCAATGTATAAATCATATGCCAACTTCTTTTTTTCTTTAAAGTTTGTTGGAAGCAAAGAGTTAGTGGTCAGTTGTAGTAATTGTGAGCATGGATTAACCATCATTGGGTAGTATGATAGTGAATGAAATAAAAGAGAATCTAAGTTTATATGGTTTCTTGAGTTCGAGTCCCATAACCCCTAATAAGAGTGTCATTAGAGTTTGTATCTGATCGATAGTTTCAGGGCTTCAAAAGAATAATTCTAAAATTCTAGAGTTTCAGAAGAATAGTCGATATGTGTATAAACAAACATGATAACTTGGTTATTATAATAAAATAATAATAATAATAATAATAAATAAATAAATAAAGAGGTTGGGAGGTTTTAATAATCGATAGATGAAAGAGAAATAAGGGATGGAGCCTACAGATCACGTGTGAATGTGATCCGAATGGATGTAGATAAATAAATGAAATGGGCCTCGGTTTTGGCATGAGATTAGATCACAGATAACCTGCGAATGAGGTATAGGCGTAAAGCCAGTAACCTACCAAATGAACAGCGATCCTTAATCATTGATGGACAAAACTTCCACATTTAATACATGTCCGGTTGGTTTTTGTACACGATTTTCATCCCCATCTTAACACATGCATTTCAATAATAAATAATATGAACTAACCATATAAATTATGTAACTACTCCAAATATGATTCTATTAAACTTGTTCCGGACTGCTTCAAAATTAGGGTCCAACGGCAGGAATGGTCGGCCGAGAAAAGATCAAGTCGAGGACAGAAGTAAGAATTAGGTGAGGCTGTGCAAAGTTGCCAGCTGCCCTTTGTACATTGACAGTACGATCTATCAAGTATGTGGCCAAAAATAAACTTGACCATTGTTATTGTTCCTTTGAAAGTTACCAGTACTTACAACAAAGATCCCTTTTTTCCTTATATCAAAATCAAGTACACATATATACTGCTTTTAGCAAAGTCGTGTATTTGTTTAGTTTTAACTCCAAAGATTTCACCCGACAGAAAAAAATATTTGCTCTATTATTTGAGTTCCCGAGTTTAAATATTTGGACATATATCATAATAATATTTTGTCTTACTTGATCATTTGGGCTCGTAAAGTGTTTAATAGACTCTGAGGATTATTGAGATATACGCATACTAACCAAGGTCCCAAACACCTCGATTATCCAAAAAAAATCAAGTACACATTTTGTTGATACGAAAATTCGCACAACCAGAGAGATTCAATTGACCTTGGTGGAATCGGAACGGATGTGAGTGTGATTACGGATAATCAGCGATGGGTAATATAAGTGCAATAAAGTAAAAGACAATAAATTTTTAAAGTGATTCGACGGGTAACCTCTTATGCCTACGTCCACTTTCTTATATTTATTGTGAGAGCTTATAATGAGAATTTTATGGAAAATTTCTAACCCCTTTTTCATCATGTGAGAGAGTTTATAAATAGGGTTTGTGCAAAAGAAATAGCAAAAATAAAGGGATTATAATTGATCTGAACTACAATTCTGATTGGTGTTGTGATTGCACAAAGGTGCTGTTAATCTGGTATTCCCGTAATATCTAAGATCTGAAATTATATGAAAATTGATTGAAGAATATTCGGGTTGTTCATGAGTAGCTTGCACTAGGTCAAATTATATGTCTACGAGCTTATGCTGGGTCGGACAATCGGATGATTCTAGGTCGATCTAATATCTTGCGACTCAACGAACTTGATGGAAAATCACACACAACACGTTTATTTTATTCAATGAATATTTGCTCATTTTTCATTTAACACATTAATATTTCGTAAAGATACTAGAAAATTACATTATTATTTACTGATATTCAAGTAAAATTAATGATATGGTATTTTGAGAAGAGAAAGGAAAAACAAAACGCGTAGTATGGTACGACTTAGCTTTAATAATATTAAACTTTGATAATACTAATATTATATTATATAAACAAACTTTGTTTTATTTATTAATAATAAATATGGGTAAATCAAGTTTGTAATTGTAAAATTCTAAAATCGAATATTTTTATATAAATTACCTCTATTCAAGTTTTTATTGATTTAGAAATTATTTTTAATTCACAATGAGAAGACAATAGAAACATGCTTGTATACACATTCATACCGTCTCAAGATATTGGTGTCAAGGCAAAATAAAAAATATACTTTTCTATTTATAATAAATTTAAAAGTATTAATACATCGGGGAGTTTTTGGTGATTAACAATTTATTATTAGTTTTAATTAATTTAGAGATGGATGAAACTTGAAGAACCAGATGGGCACACTTGTCGAAAGAGGAGATTCGTAATACTTAATAAATTGTAGTACAAACGGGTGACCCGTTTTACTTAAAAATGGTTAAACAAACGGGACCCATCTGGAAACGAATTTCGTCCTCTTCACTTCCTAATTTTGTCACCTCATTCATACTCGAATACACATCAGATCACCAGTATAAAATCCAAAATCACAGAGGCCCACCACCTCCATAGGCTGCCACGTAGACGAAATAATGGAAGAATAATGGAGGAGCAACTGCAGGTGAAGCAGGTGATTGTGTCCAATTGTTGGAGGAGTGGTAATTAGTAAAGGCTGAGAGGCCTGAGGAATCGGCATTCCCTGAGGCAGACAAATTCAAAGAACAAGCACTGACAAGATCAAATTCAACTAAAAACTAAAACCTCTCTCCCTTTAGCCACCCATCCATTGGTTCGGGTTCTGCATATGGGTTTGTGTGTGCGACTCGGGGCGTGACTGGCTACGTCATCATCTCCCTCTCTTCTCTCTGTGTGTGTCAGAAACATAACTAAAGAGGTTGAAACGCTTCAGCCTTTTGGTTTTTCTTTCTTTTATTGTTTTTTTAAATCTTGTTTCTTCTTCATGAATATTAAAAGAAATGGCAGTCGTACAAAGTATTCCCCCTAATATGCTAGCGAAATTCTGGGTCAAATAAATGGGGCTTCAGCACAGAATGTTTGTACTAATTTGTTGATGTAAATGCCAACACTTACTTGGTTAATACCCATAAAAACCATATTAAAAGGGGTTTTGTTAATATTAAAACAAGTTTATGGAAGGTTGTGTCCGTAAATCATCATCCGGTGCTGTCTTAACAGAGAAGTTTATACTACTTTAACACATGTTTCATTTCATCTAGAATGATGAACCCTAGTTGCTCAAGTTTAGAACCTCAATTTCAGGCGAGTGCTGTCAACTCCAACTCTCTTCTAAAAGAATATTTCTTGAAATTTGACATCAAATTGATTTCCTTTTTCGAGATTTTTACCTATAAAATAAAAGGTTTAAGCCAATTTATTAATATGATGTTAAACAGTAGTTTATTTTCTATTTTTGAATGATCAAGTAGTGGATAAGGGTTTTTGAATGTATTAATCAAGAATCTTAAGTTCAAGTATTTACTAATTATTAATAGAATAGTCAGAGAGTTTTATCCAATTTATAATTTTAGGATCCTGAAAGATTAGTTATACGTAAACTGGTTGAGATATTCCTGGTCATTAAAAGAAGACTATTTTCAAACTTATCTCAAAAAACTTTACAAGAATTCGAGAGATTAATGAAGTGTGTGTAAAAAGGTTTGAACATCTCATCATAAAAAATAAAAAAAAACTATTTCGAGCTTATCTCAAGAACCTTGCTTTCGGAAGGTCAGGTGCTTCTCCATTTATTATATAAGCTTTTAATTTTGTCTACTAAGTGAAAGCCACATTTTAATTTATAATTTATCACTAATTTTTTTTTTTTCAACTTGTAGAAAAAGGGCCTGCGAAATTGAAAGCTATTAATAAATTTGTAATGGACAGTCCCTTCTCTGGTCACGCCAAATTAAATGAGCTTGGTCCCAGAAATGCTATATAAAATTCACCAGAACTTTTATTTGCTTCAAAAGGAATCACTTATTCTCTTAATGATTTTCATTTATAAATTGTGTGGACAAGCAGAATTTTCGGATCATTCAGCTACAGGTTATTTATGGTGATGTGATTTCAAAATATTCCGTAGCAAGCATATAATTTTAGGAGGTTGATGAATTCAAGCTCAATTATTATTATTATTATTATTTTGTCAAAATTCAATCCAATAGAATGAAATTAGAGATTAGTTGCGTATTAATTTTTTTTTTTTTTTTTTTTTGGCATCGGAAGATGTTTATGTTAGTTTTGTACACCTCAATTAGTCTCTTAGGACTCTAAAATTAACGGTACGTAAGAATCCAAAGGTTACCTCTTATTAGTAGATATGAAAATTCAAACTCGACCTCTCGGATAATATACTTAAGTATCCTAAGCAAACATCAAATAACCAAAGGTAGTTGTACTGATTACGTTATACTTATGAACTTATTTTGTCATAGTTTATATGAATATGAGCACTAAAGAGCCCATTATGATTGCAAAGGAAGAAAAAAACGTAAGTGAGATCCAGGACATTTCGAGGAATCTGGGAATCTTCTGAAACTTTTCTAGGCAAAGCATGGATGGATTTCATCATTCACCTTGTCCAAATAATTCAAAGATAATGGCACTGTGGAGAGAAAGAAAGGAGTTTTAAAGCCTTATCCTATTATAAACATTTAACATGATAAGTTTTTAATGTTATATGATTGGGAGCCATTGTCTGATAGAAAATTAAGCCAGCCACAAGTTCAATTAGCAGAAGAAAGATGGTAGGTTTTTCTTTCTGGTGTTTTTAAATATTGGGAAGACAAGGACAGAGTGAAAATAAAGAAGGAAGATTAAAGTTAGTTGGTAGGACAGAAAGGATCTATTATCATCATATAAACTCGATACTACGTGTACTTTTTTCACCCTAAGATTACACAGAGCTAATCTACTTCCAATTTCCAAAGATTTTAATGAAAATTTCATACTGCCATTCATTTTTGGAGGTATATTAGGATTAAACGCTTATCATCATATCAAAACCTATAACTGTGAACGTAATCTTGTTTTCTTGACATATGCTCACAGTTGAGAGAATTCGACTCTTATCTCCAGTACGATAGGATGCTGCCCCATCTAACCATCCGTTAAATGGTTATAATACCGTTTTGTGTTATTATAGAGAAAAGCAGAGAGAAGATGAAATGGGGGGACAGTGCCATGTCTGAGTAAAAGAAAGAGAGGATTAAATGAAGATTAAAACTCACCACCAACTTGGAGGGTCAAGAAGGAGGGAGGGAAGGGGGGGGTTGATAATTGTACTGATACATGAACCACTGAATTTGCTACATTTTGTTGCAACTATTTTGTGTGGATGACGATTTGACAATCTGTCCCTACCCTTTGAAGATGGTGAATGAAATGAAGAAACCATCTTATTCTAACATCCACTCGAGGAAAAATTATATTTGATTCATTGCAGTTTCAAAGCTAGTATCAGTGGAATCTTTGATTATGAACACTATCACTATACCTAATTGCGTCACCATTTGCATTTCCTATATGACTACTGACACTGAGATGCCAAGTTTTAATCCTACATTGAATTGAGCCCACTAAGTTATTTTCTCCATATAGCTAGGCCCATAAATTAATTAATCCATTGAATTATGTCTAATATCTATATCCAAATTACATCACATCAATTACAATTGAATTGACGTGCCATTAATTTTAGTATTTCATGCATGTCTCCCTATTATATTTATATCAAAACAATGATTGAAAAAGAAAGAGCTATGCATTCATGTATCACTGTCAAATAATAGAATTTCTATCCCTCCTTCGCTAAAATCTAGTTAACTCAATCATTACTTACCATTAATAAAAAATAAGTAATAAAAGCACAACAGTTCATTTTTTTTTTTTTTTTTTTGGGTAACTAAGATGTTTAAGTCAATAACACGTATTCAATTAATTCTCTAAATTTATGAAGTCAATCAATATTATTAAGATAGGTGGTTCTAAAATTTGAACTCAATAACTCGAAGAAGAGAGCAAACCTCATTGACCGATAGATCAACCCCTTTAGGTTACAGTTCATTTCGGTGAAGCACATATATATTACTTTCATCAAAAATAGTTAAGTTTAGCACATCATAGTAATTTTTTGAATTTTTTTTTATTTTAAAGGGTTATTTATTTATTTTAAAATTTTATGATATTTTTCTAGAATTTTTTGGTAATTTTAAGAAACTATATACTAGGACTCCTGAGACTTTAGAATTTATCAAAGAGTGTATGAAATATAAAATAATATCAAATATAGCATTATTTTACATAAAATACAAAAACTCTAATAAATTATTTGTCTTATATTTATCTCAACCATGACAAGTCTGGAATCTAGATCCCAGAGGTGGGGTGGCAAGTCCCATCTTCCACAAAATACAAAATAGTGTTAAGACTTAAGATACAAGAGAGTTTTATGGCTTCATTCAATGTTACAATGATTAAATTGATTCTGTATACAGAAGAAACCTTCGAACTCAGATTACTACTGCTAAAAGTAACTGTTTTGCAAGTTAATTGAATTATTGATAGATTGATGCTACAAATTAACGAGGAATAAGGAAGCGAATCTCATAGGCCAAAACTTAAACACGAAATTGGTTAAATGGTAGAAGAGATAGCACTCAAGCCCTACCAATTTGACAGAAGATATAGTCCTTGTATAAAAATCCAAATTCAATAATGCAACATCTCTCACTGTCACATAAATGAGGAAGAAACATGGGCATATGCATGCAGCTCCATTTCCAATGTCCATAGATTAGTACAACAACACTATTTCTGTGTACCCCAGCTCACATGAGACCAAACCCAGAAAATAAATTATGGGTTGAAAAAGAGAATAGTGAAAGACCAATGACCACTTGTGAATGAAAATATAAAAGCAAGAGCAGCTTAAATGGGGAATGGAACATAGACAAACGCACCACCGCTGAGACTTGGAACAAGAAGGAAGGCTTTTGTGCGAAGCGAAAACCGATAAATGGAAAAAGTAAGGCAAGTAGAGGGAAAAAGGACTGCAATAATTCACACACGCAAAAAAATTAAAAAGGAAAGTGTAAGTAACCGAAGTGAATTTATCAATTACAAAAGGGTCAGGGGGCTTTGTCCAGGTTCGGTCAGTATTTTATATTATTTATGTAAACGTGATGAGTAGGTGAGGCTGTAGTGTCTAAAAATAGTGGGGCGTACGCCGCCGGTGAGGCTTTAAGTAAATCTAAAGTAAGATTTTATATTGAACGAAGGAATGGATGGGACAGTTTTTGTTTAGTTTAGGGTTTAGATTAGGTAAGGTTAGGACTAGGTGTGTAAGAGGGTAATAAAAATGAAAGGTAATGGCACAGACTTTGTTTTGAAGGGGTGGTGTGGTGATGAGAGATTGCTGGTTGAATGACAAGGTGCAGTTGGGGAGTGAGAGAGTAATGGGCACTTAAAACCCCCGTTTCAGAGGGCTTTCTGTCTGCACTGATGGCCAATCAATCTATCATCAACGAAGAGCTCTCTCTTCGAAAAATGAAAAAACTGGAAATTCATTATTACCATAATACTTGATAGGTTTGGAACTAAGGTCTACGCATAATATATGAGCCTATTTAAGTATTTAACCATCTGGATGAATAGAGTCAATGGCAGATGGATGCATTGATGAAGAAATATGCAGGCTTGGAACCTCAAGTCAATCCTCGACCCATAGGCCTATCAACACTGAGCCCATGGAGATTTGGTGGGTTGTAATTGTCATAGCCACCTTCAAAGCTGAAGGCAGAAGCGGACTGAATGGTCCAGGTGAAAATGGGCTCTATAGGTCCAAAATTCTCATGTAAATGAGTCGAGCATCACATGAGCTCGTTTATATCAGTGGAACAGATTTAATACCGAATGCAGGGGGAACTTTTAATGTGAGTGAGAGTCTAATGGCATTTTATATTCACTTACAGACTCTGTATATCAAGAAAAGGTATCCATTAGAGAGTAAATACAAAACAAATATAATTATTCTCTATATCTCATTAAAATATAACCAGTAGAATTACAACGACTTCCATAATACACTCATGTAGATGATTGACATAACAAATATATGTATAAAACAAAGTCTTTATTTGTACAAACACAAGTACTAGCTACAAAAATAATTCCTTTAATGTGCACGTGTAGAGCTTATTTGTATACAACCTGAATTTATGTATAGGAAGCAGCAAACTGAACCAGGCATGAGAAAAAAATTGTATACAGTACAACCACATAATGATTAGTATCATTAATCAAGTGACCGTGGTACCAGAGACCTCGAGAATCCACTTATTTATACTAGTTTCGCAAAACCATAACCAGCGACAACATCGAAGTACCAACAAATAATAAGTACCGAGGAAATTTGAGCCAGCTGCAAAGAAACAGGCATAATGGTGAGCCTCAGTTTTATGCATTGATGCAGCTTAAGACATCGAAAAACAGATCACAAGTTTCTTCTTAAGTATACCATAGAAAGGTTTCAAGGCTAAAACTTTAAACATGGGCATTAGATTTCTCTATATGTTCCTCAAGGCAATAGAAGGAGAGTAGCACAATATGCAATTATGAATTTTCAATCTTACCTTGATTCTTACTGTCATCAGCCATACAGTAGATGGTGGTGGAGATTGATTTTGCTTTGAAATCCAAGGCCCGCACAATCCATTCCAATAGCACCTTCAATTGACAACCAAATTTACTATCAAGTTATTGCTGAAGCATGGAACTAGATCATTATATGTCTAAACAATTCAACCTAAAGTGTGCCTCTCAGTGATCGGTTTTAACTTCCAAACCTTGTTGCCTTAGAACCTGATTGCAATTTCTAGTTTTTTCTTTCAAAGCAATAACTCAAGTATATTATCTTACATTCTTTGTAGCACGGAAAAGCTGACACATTAAGAAGATTATAATAACCCGCGTCACATTCACAAGTGTATGTGAACATTGATGTAGTATTGCATAAGCCACCTCCACAATTAGTCCACTTGCAGACTAGATAATCAAAACTCAATGAATTAGTACCATGACACCAAGTGATGCCGTGCAAGATTAATACTGTAAATGTAATGGTGCTTACTGTCAAAAATTGACAGGTTAGTGGTTGATTTCTGTTGAACAGGAGAAGGTGCCGCCATGCAACTGTAATTCATTGTACCTAGAAAGCAAAATTATCAGCATCAACAAAAACCATAAACTAATTTTACTGCTATTAAACAGAAATAAGAATGGCAATTGATCATATCATAAGTCCAAGCACGCAGCATTAAAAAATTAAAAAGTCACAATCTTTAACTTTGATACGATATTTGCATCAAACCTTCCAAATCTAAACATATTCAGGTCCTTAACAAATTAGGCTGTGATTAACATGCACCACCAACTTGAATTAAAAAAGGAAAAAAAAACTATTATCACATACTTTCCTTTTAGTTAGGATTTGACTCCATTTTACTTGCCCCCGCAAGATATTGGCATCGCCAACTTCAAACTTGTGCGTCATATTGGCAAAGGATCTAGTCCACCAATTGATAGGGATTTATTTATCTATGATTCATCGAATTTAATGGAAATCTCTATACAGTCATAAAGTAGATTGAACAGAATTATACTTCATATTCATCACCAATCACAATATATGAAGAAGTTTCCAAATCTTCATAAATAAACATTGCAAACACATAAGAAATTTATATTTGCCTTGCGCAGATTAAAATGAAAACATAAGACTAGCTTACAGTTGAACATGTCTATCTAAATAGAGGGAGAGAGACAGAGAGTGCTCACAGTTAGGAATTACGCAAGGAAGAAACTTGTACTGATTATTGTCATCCGAAGTGGTCTGCATCCACCCAGGATCACAAACACATTCATAAAAGAAAGTGCTATTCATAGAAGGTTGGCACTCTCCCCGTCCACATTCCACTTCTTGGCACACACCATCTGCACCCAAAATCAAAACAAACACACAAGAATGACATCAGTCTTCAAAATCAATATTGACCCAGTTGCTAAAAAGTAGTAATATCAATATAGATTGCGAGAAACAGACTGAAGGCAGGCGCGAGAATAGGAGGCAAGAAACCGCTTGTAGTAGCCATAGGTTGCAGAGCAACAAGAAGGACTGAAAGAAGGGCGATGACATTAACAGAAGCCATCTCTATTTTCTAGAATATTACAAAGCAGAGGCCAGCGAGAGGGAGGAGAGAAGATTGATGATGAAATGGCGAGATATAAATGAAGCTTGTAACCCCATTTGACTTTTAGGATGGAGTTTGAAAATCTGAGATGTTCCACAACTTTAGTTTCGTGTTTTGACTCAAAAGTTAAAAAATCTAAACGTGTCTGACCTGAACAATGAGCTACTTAAAGAGGGGTTAGTTAGGAGTTGGAGTTCGGCACTTCGGCGTAGTCTATTGACTATTGAGCAATCATTCTATAACACGTCATGACTTGGATTCACATGTACACATATTACTCTTTTCTGTACATACATAACTTTTCTTGCAATTGCATATAAAAAATTAGATTTTTATTTAAACTTCGTAAATCTAAAGCAATCTTAATATGGATTTGATTCATTTGAACAGGGAGTGGCTATTACATGATTACAGTACCACTTTATATAAATATACAATTAGATTAAAATCTTGATGAATCTTTTGAAATTTATTTATTCTATTAATTTTATAACTAAAACTTATAATCAATGGTTTATGACTATTTTTTACATGACCATATGTTTGATGAAGATTTTGGACATTGTTTTACAATTTATTAATTTCTTCTAAGAATTTTTCATTTGAAGCAAGATAGACTTTTTGAACCAGCCCTTGAGTGGCCGACTGATTCGATAAGGGCTCTTAGATGTATTTATTCAAGAGGTTCTGAATTCAAGTCTCTCCTCGGTTGTTAATAGGGATTATCACTGGAGCTTTTACCGACCAATAATTTTAAGGTCTTAAAGGATTAATTGAGTGCGTATAAACTGACCTGAACACCGTCAATTATATAAAAAAAAGATAGGCTTCTTGGGCTAGCTGAGCTGCCTACTCTAATTGATTTTAGGACCATTAGCTCCTACCTATTCCTTTAATTTAAACTCATTCCCATATATATATATATAGTTTAAAAAATCAAAATTTTTAAAAAATATTTTCTTTTGAGATTGAATCTAATCCTCTTTACCATCAATGAAAAAATGGAATGAAAGAAAATTATATTGTTATAGTGGATGATTATTATATGTACAAGAAATTTCGAGCTTGTTGGGTGCAAGAAATCTTTGTTTCCCAAATCAGAGCAGAGATGTTTAAAAAAAAATGTTTTCTCCATAAAATAATTAGTTAGAATAATTTTATTCATTTTTAGCTTTACTTGTAGCAAAGCCAAATGATAGTTAGTTACTTGGGTAGTTACAAGGATTAGTTGGAATTTCTCAATCCATAGTATTAAAGTCTATTCTGAACAAGACTTTGTATAAAGTCCAACAATCTTTCTTAAAATGGCCTCAGTTTTCTGCATATTAATCACCTGCATCTTCCACACCTAAGCCAATTCAATGCATTTATCAGGGGAGTATAAATCTCGTTATATACTGTTTAAAGTTTGGTTCTCGGGAAAGTTTTTGGATTCTACTGGGCGGTGTTGCTATAGAGTTGGGTTGAGTTCTTCCATCCTGTTTTAATGCTTTTTCATTCTAAACTTTCGGCTACTAAATAAAGATGAAAGCACTTTCTGACTAAATGTCGCTCATTCTTAACTCTTAAGGCAACTAAAGTCAAGAAGCTAACCGTATCCTAACTACGAATATGACTTTCATGAAAACTGCAAGAAGTTTGTTGGGTTTCATAAAAATATCTCTTGCTTCAATTGAACCGCTCTTCATTCCTAGACTATCAATAAACTGTCACCAGTTCGATGATTCAACTTTTATTCAGAATGAATATGAAGGAGAAAGAACAAGAAATGAAATGTTCTCTGCTCATATGCAGGATGAAGTTTGTAGTGCATCCTGCAGTTTATGATTTTTATGGACACCATTAGCATTACTAAATATGAGACTGTTGTTAGGGAACTCGGTGATCTTTTGAGTTATTAAAGGAAAAAAATGAAATGAGACGCCAAACAAAAGAATTCAACTTCTAAACAGGGAGAGGCCTTTGAATAGATCAGAGATACGAGATGGAAAGTTTTGTGCTTTTTTGCTGGTGCTGAGGAGCATTGGTCTAATCCAAACATAAACAAAAAAAGAATTTTATACTACTTTACACATGTTTCATTTCATCTAGAAATGATGAACCCTAGTTGCTCAAGTTTAAGAACCTCAATTTCAGGCAGTGCTGTCACTCCAACCTCTTCTAAAAGATATTTCTTGAAATTTGACACACAATTGATTTCCTTTTTCGAGATTTTTACCTATAAAATAAAAGGTTTAAGCCAATTTATTAATTATGATGTTAAAACAGTAGTTTATTTTCTATTTTTGAATGATCAAGTAGGTGATAAGGGTTTTTGAATGTATTAATCAAGAAATCTTAAGTTCAAGTATTTACTAGTTATTATAAGAATAGTCACGAGAGTTTTATCCATTTATATTTTAGGATCTGAAAGATAGTTTATACGTAAACTGTTGAGATATTCCTGGTCATTAAAAGAAGACTATTTCAAACTTATCCAAAAACTTTACAAGAAGTTCGAGAGATTAATTGAGTGTGTGTAAACTGTTTGAAACCTTCATCATAAAAAAATAAAAAAACTATTTTCGAGCTTATCTCAAAGACCTTGCTTTCGGAAGGTCAGGTGCTTCTCCATTTTATATAAGCTTTTAATTTTGTCTACTAGTGAAAGCCACATTTTTAATTTTATATTATCACTAATTTTTTTTTTTTCAACTTGTAGAAAAAGGGCCTGCGAAATTGAAAGCTATTAATAAATTTGTAATGGACAGTCCCTTCTCTGGTCACGCCAAATTAAATGAGCTTGGTCCCAGAAATGCTATATAAAATTCACCCAGAAACTTTTTTTTGCTTCAACAGGAATCACTTATTCTCTTAATGATTTCATTTATAATTGTGTGGACAAGCAGAATTTTCGGATCATTCAGCTACAGTTATTATATGGTGATGTGATTTCAAATATTCCTAGCAAGCATATAATTTTAGGAGTGTTGATGAATTCAAGCTCATTATTATTTTATTATTATTTTGTCAAAATTCAATCCAATAGAATGGAAATTAGAGATTTGTTGGTATTAATTTTTTTTTTTTTTTTGCATCGGAGATGTTTAGTAGTTTTGTACACCTCAATTAGTCTCTTGGACTCTAAATTAACGGTCAATAGAATCCAAGGTTACCTCTTATTAGTAAGATATAAAATTCAAACTCATGACCCTCGGATAATATACTTAAGTATCCTAAGCCACATCAAATTACAAAGGTAGTTTGTATGATTACTAACCTTATGAACTTATTTTGTCATAGTTTATGAATATGAGCACTAAAGAGCCCATTATGATTGCAAGGAAGAAAAAAACGTATGATATCCAGGACATTCTGAGGAATCTGGGAATCTTCTGAAACTTTTTTAGGCAAAGCATGGATGTTTCATCATTCACCTTGTCCAAATAATTCAAAATAATGGCACTGTGGAGAGAAAGAAGGAGTTTTAAAGCCTTATCCTTATTATAAAACATTTAACATGATAAGTTTTAATGTTATATATTGGGAGCCATTGTCTGATAGAAAATTAAGCCAGCCACAAAGTTCAATTAGCAGAAGAAAGATGGTAGGTTTTTCTTTCTGGTGTTTTTTAAAATTGGAAGACAGGACAGAGTGAATAATAAAGAGGAAGATTAAAGTTAGTTGGTAGGACAGAAGGATCTCATTATCATCATATAAACTCGATACTACGTGTACTTTTTTTTCACCCTAAGATTACACAGAGCTAATCTACTTCCATTTCCAAATTTTAAATAATTCTACTGCCCATTCATTTTGGAGTATATTAGGATTAAACGCTTATCATCATATCAAAACCTATAACTGTGAACGTAATCTTGTTTTCTTGACATATGCTCACAGTTGAGAGAATTCGACTCTTAATCTCCAGTACGATAGGATGCTGCCATCTACCATGTTAAATGGTTATAAATACGTTTTGTGTTATTATAGAAGAAGCAGAGAGAATGAAATGGGGGGACAGTGCCATGTCTGAGTAAAAGAAAGAGAGGATAATAAGATTAAAACCTCACCACCAACTTGGAGGGTCAAGAAAGGGAGGGAAGGGGGGGTTGATATTGATACTGATACATGAACCACTGAATTTGCTACATTTTGTTGCAACTATTTTGTGTGGATGACATTGACAATCTGTCCCTACCCTTGAAGATGGTGAATGAATGAAGAAACCATCTTATCTAACATCACTCGAGGAAAATTATATTTGATTCTGCAGTTTCAAAGCTAGTATCAGTGGAACTTTGATTATGAACACTATCAATAACCTAATTGCGTCACAATTGTGCATTTCCTATATGACTACTGACACTGAGATGCCAAGTTTTAATCCTACTTGAATTTGAGCCCACTAAGTTATTTTCTCCAATAAGCTAGGCCCATAAATTATAATCCATTGAATATGTCTAAATCTTATATCCAAATTACATCACATCAATTACTAATTGATTGACTGCCATTAATTTAGTATTTCATGCATGTCCCCTATTATATTTTATCAAAAACATGATTGAAAAAGAAAGCTATGCACATGTATCACTGTTCTAATAATAAGTCTATCCCTCTTCGCTAAAATCTAGTTAACTCAACTATTACTTACCATAATAAAAAATAAGTAATAAAAGCACAACACAGTTCATTTTTTTTTTTTTTTTTTTTGGGTAACTAGATGTTAAGTCAATTAACACATTTTAATTAATTTCTAAAATTTATTGAAGTCAATATATTATAAGATGGTTCTAAAATTTGAACTCAATACTCGAAGAAGAGAGAAACCTCATTGACCGATAGATCCACCCTTTAGGTTACAGTTCATTTCGGTGAAGCACATATATATTACTTTCATCAAAAATAGTTAAGTTTAGCACATCATAGTAATTTTTTGAATTTTTTTTATATTTTAAAGGGTTTATTTATTTTAATTTTATGATATTTTCTAGAATTTTTTGGTAATTTTAAGAAACTATATACTAGGACTCCTGAGACTTTAGAATTTATCAAAGAGTGTATGAAATAATAAAATAATA